AACCACACTAAATTGGAAAACATTAGAGTGATATCAAACTTAGTATTTTACAACTTCATTGATAACGAAATACAAAACCTTTTGAGCTGAAAATTCAATCACGAATTGCGTACTAAAATCATTAGATCGCTTCTACAAGAAAGGCCTCCAGTGACTGCATTTCAATGCATACTATATTTTATTGTTCTCCAGCCGATATGAAATCTGCCCCAGCATAACAAATCACACCCAGCTGGTTAGGTCTAAGTCTTTATTTGTCTCGAGCAGCTGCTGTGGGGTTCTCGACGTCGCGATAAATTTGACTTTGCGCATTCATCATTCGAGCTTAGGCGTAACCAAGACAAATAAAAGGAGGCGGCTACAAACGAAAATTGTTTCATAAATTTGCAGGAAAAATTGTAGTTTAGTCTCTTATAGCACCGAAATTGATAAGCTCTAAAAGTCCCAAGTAGTTGAGTTTAATGCCAACACAAAAAGCTACTATGGCCATTTGGCACAAATAGCCTACTTTGTTAAACTTGACATTTTCTAATCTTGGCATATAGGGCAATATATTGCAAAACGAACTGCACAGCACCGTATAAATAATAAAGCTATAAATAGCACCATAGTAGGTGGATGAAAATGTGATTTTTCACTTATTTATTTTAATTTGAAATGAGTTGATAAGTGAAACGTACTTTTTTAGTAGTGTAGTCAATACACTGTGTAGGGAAAGTCCACAAACTAACATTAAAAATGATCAGCTAGTAGTTATCATACACATTATTACATACAGGGTGTTGAAAATGTCTGGAACCAACATTATATCTGGTAAGTGGTTAAAGAAAAACAACTGATATTTTGGGTACGGATATACTATGGTTTTACTTATCTTTTAGTGCCTTATGAAAATTTTTACCACTTAAGGGAACGTCCTGTGAAGGATGCAGTAAAAAGTTTTAATGGAAGCCTATGGTAAATGATACATCATTTTAAAGGCCATCTTTTTCTGAGTAAGGAGCCACAAGTTTCATCTCAAAAGGACCACCCTAGCAAAAATGGCGACTGTTTGAAATTTAAAAAAATCACATAGGGAACAGAATTTTTAAATTTCAAACAGTCGCCATTTTTGCTAGGGTGGTCCTTTTGAGATGAAACTTGTGGCTCCTTACTCAGAAAAAAATGGCCTTTAAAATTATGTATCATTTACCATAGGCTTCCATTAAAACTTTTTACTGCATCCTCCACAGGACGTTCCCTATAAGTGGTTTTTTAAAATTTCAAACAGTCGCCATTTTTGCTAGGGTGGTCCTTTTGAGATGAAACTTGTGGCTCCTTACTCAGAAAAAAATGGCCTTTAAAATGATGTATCATTTACCATAGGCTTCCATTAAAACTTTTTACTGCATCCTCCACAGGACGTTCCCTATAAGTGGTAAAAATTGTCATAAGGCACCAAAAGATAGGTAAAACCATAGTATATCCGTACACAAAATATCAGTTGTTTTTCTTTAACCACTCACCAGATATAATGTTGGTTCCAGACATTTTCAACACCCTGTATAATGGTAACTTTGAATGAAGGCCAGACAGACAGATGCCACCTCTTCTTTGCAATAGTATAGATAATGGTAATTGGATAGATAATGGTAACCATTTAATGAAAAAAATATGCAGCTCAAATCGTATTTTTATTTATTTTATTTTTTATATCAAACAACACGACAATTTTTAGTTGTATATTCAGCTATGTATACTAGAGTTCCAACTTGGTCACATACAAATTTAAAAAAATATGTATGCTCTATATTTTATCTATGAACGTCGTTTTTTGTACTCTATATATACAAGATACAGTATTTTAAAATATAATCATTTTTGCAGACATTTTCAAGCAACCTTGTACAAACAATTATTTAAACTAACCTGTTACACGCATAAGTGTGGTGTTTTGAATACAAAAACAGTGACAACTAATTAAAATACTAGAGAAGCATAGGCCACTTACTACACGCACTGTTACAATTTTAAATATTATAACAACATTTATTAATAAAATAATTACTATTAAAGCAAAACCACTTTCCAAAGGTTCTATATAGTTATTTTTCAAGCCCGTACAACACTAAAAACCCCTAATGTTGGTTAAGTCGCTCAGTACGTTCACAAAAACATTTATGTACGTTATTAACATTCCTGTATATTATAAAAAAAATATGCATAACTATACACACGTAATTGTGAATCAATAGGACAAAATAAATAACCCTTTAGGAATATAAAACCAAAAAACATACGTTCAAAATTGTTTAACAAAGAAATTGTATGTTATGAACCGGCTTTGGACGCCTCAAAGGGAACACGAGTCCAAAAATAGTTACACGAAACAAGGAAATAATTATATTAGACCGTATGAGGTTGAATGTGAAGGAGGAGCGACTTGTGTCAGCTGTCTAATTGGATCATCAGTGGTCATGTGTAGTGGAGTTATGAAAACATTGAGGTTAATACCTTAGCTAACTATGTGGATGGATATATCAGAGGTGAAACATACAAGAAACTGACTATAGTCGTAGTGAGGTGTAAGCCGTGGGAGTACTTAACTTAGGCACTGTATAAAGTTACTTTTTTTAACCACGAGTGTAGTGTAGTCATGTTAACATTGTGATTTATACCTTAGTAGATTCTGATTGTGTAGATTAAGGTACGTATCTCAGGTGAAACATAAAAGAATTTGACTATAGTCATTTGTAAGCTGTATGCGTATAACTACATAAGGTTGTTGGCATAGAGATAATTTAGTTGGTACAATACTATATTTTTGATGGTGTGACCTTAGCTAAGTGCATTAAATGAACACAGTCAAAACGTAGACAAACCTTACTATATTTATTTGTAGTCATATCTATTTTATCCGTTGACTCAAGGATAATAATATATGTGTGGAGGAGTTAGTTAAGGTATATCATACGTCATATAATTGACTAGATAGGAAAATGGGTAAAACATAGAATAATTTGACTATAGTGGTGGTCATATAAGCTGTATTTATTACTATGAAGACAATTAATTATTTCTTTACGTATATGTATACCTAAGAAATTATGTATGTGTGCTTTTTTTATACTTTGCGATTTACATTAAATTGTGGATTAACCATTGTACCAAATAAAATCATACCTCAATTACAGTGAATATTATCTTTTGAGTAGGCTACACGTATGGATATTGTTTTCGACGTGTTAAATACATTGGAAACATTAACTATACACACAGAAAATACTGAATATATAGACTGAACAGTTTCAAGTTAGTCTATTAACAGTTCATCCTACCCAATGTGGCAACATTCGACGAAATAACAAACAACAAGTTTACAGCCAAGCGTTGCTTGAATGCCTGAAGGACATAGGCCACCTAGGCGATTAGGTATTACCAAATTGTGGACGTCAAATCAAGACTATTATAGAACATAGTAAAAATAAACTGCGAAAGGGAGCAAAATTGAAAATCGCTTTCAAAAAAATTCTATTCAATTCAGATATTGGCAGCGACGCACTTGATGGTGTTTTTTGTAACCTACGTATTTAAGTAATTACGTAATTTTTAATGAAAATGTAGAATTTGTGTAGAATTAAGTGAGATATCCAGTCCAGCTTTGATACTGACAACAATTGATGCAGTAGTTAATTTTAGCCCAAGACCATTCAATAAAATCCCAATTAAATGGTTTCGTTTAAAACCTTCGAAAAACTTTAAATTTAACGGCCAAAACCCATACATTTTACACTGTAACATTAATATTACTGGTATCGTAAAACTGTATTGTGCCCTAGCCGGGCTATACAACCATCTATACGTACACTTGAAGAACAAAAATATTGAAAATAGGATGAACCAAAATAATTTGTAATTACTAACAATTCTGATACAACAATGATTTAGCAAGTTTTAAAGTAATTGAATAGTCAACAGATACTTAAGTGAACTTTAAACTGAAGATTGGAAGAGTTCATTTATCAGTGATAAGAAAATGGCAGATACAATAGGGAATACTTGATTTATTTGAGTTTAACCAGTATCTATTTAAGGCTAATGTAACGTTTTTCGCTTGAATTAAACCTTTCTGGGCGATCTAACTACCTCATTAACGTAGGGTATTATGTGGTTTAATTCATAACTTTAGGTTTACATTTAATATTAATAGATGTACTGTTAATAGATTTAATTACAATGAAAATGATTGGATTCTTCCCTAAAAAGTAGTTTTGGCAAGTTTAGTTATAGCTTTTGTATAACCAGAAATTTTCAAATTTATGAGCACGAAGATCATTTGATTAGACTGTTTTTATTTTTGTAAAATAATACTATAGATTCTACAAAACGTTTTCTCAATATTTTTTTAGTAACAACCACACAATGTTACGAAAATACTATTTAATCATTGTTAACATTAATTTACGGCCTTGCGGATTAAAGTACTGCGAATCCAATTTATTCATTATTCCCTTGTCTGTGATTAAACCAATTAAGTTAGAACGACTAATAAACTTAAAAACGTTTATTAAAAATTTACATTTAAATATATTAACATAACATTTGCTAAAATTAGAACATTGAAAATCAATATGAAAAAGTATACAATGCATATTAACTTCTATAAATATTTTAAAAACATGAACAACAATTCTGTTCTTCTACAAGTCGCTAAGAATCTATATTCATTAAATCAAGTCATATTATCATATAACCTAAAATATCTGTGTCGATGATTTTAAAAGGCGTGTATAATATTTCAAGGCTGTTATCAATATGCCACAATTGTATAGATTTAATAGGCCTGCCTCAATAAAATTTACTAACGTAAACAAACAAAAATACCCACAGTAAAATAATCAACATTTTCTATTAAATACTAAAATTGTCACTACAACCTAATTGTATGGTAAGGCTTCTGGAGAAAAAAGGTTCTTTTAAAAGTATACATCAAAATAAAGTGTATTTAACATGTAACTCACCAAAAATATGTTCGCCGGTAGATGTCAATCACGTGCACACATGCTACACACACACTGTCAACAATGGCGCACGCTGAACTGGCTCACTGGCTGAGCTGAATCTGGCTGCTGTACTGCTAGCTCCCCCCTCTCCCCACAACGCTCAGCACTTCGTCTGCAGGACTATCGCCGCCAAGCACAATGTGATCGTACGACACCTTTCACGATACAGTAATAAAATTCAAACTGTGTGTTAATTTTGTTAATTGAACAAAAAGTGAACGCCTCTGGTATATAAAGCATTTTAAGAGTATACTCTTTTAGTTTTAGTTTTATAAGGTAGAAATTATTTTGATACGTTGTGTGAACTGTAGAGTACTTAATGATTCGTTTAATACAGAGCCAATTAATACAGACTAATACAGTAACATTCTGTTGTAGCAATAGTAACTACTCATAGGGAAAATTTTGTATTTCCACCGTCTGTAGGTTTGCTGGCTATTCCTAAACTTTATACACAGAAAAAACATACTACTATAACCTGTGCTTTATATCAAAACAAGTTCAAAAAATTAGTTTTACTTTTATATCCAGCCTAGTATAAATAGCACGAATTGTGGGGGGTTGGGGGGTTGGGTAGGTTTAGGTATATCTACCGTTGTATCTTTACTAAAAACACTTTTCATGATTGTATGATGCATCATTGCACAGACAATTGAAAATTAATTTGTAGATAATTTAAATATTTCCATAGTACTGTATCTTGTTTGAGAAAAAGTAAACTATTGCACTTTACTTACTCATAAAATATTTACTTTAATTCAATAACATTTCACTACAATAAGTCATGTTTTCACCTAGCAGTAAGCAGTAAGCCCAAAGCCCATGTATAAACTTAGACATAAGAACAAACAAAAGAAGTAGAAGTTAAACTTTAAGGAAAAAAAAACAACTGAACAAATTAAAATTTGTAGTCAACATCTTTGTTACGACAGGGGTATTAGGAATTTCAGCCAATTACAGAATGTATAGTGGTTTAAAAACACATTTTTAAAAACAAAATGTTTTTTTTTTATAAAAAGAGTTAATATCTTGTAACAAATAATATGACCTAATAATGTGTACTGTAAATTCTTACTTTTAGCGAATTTCCCATATAGGGAATAAACCATAAACCATTTCGTACTACAGTACTACAAGAAATTGTAAGATAAATGGAAAAAAATATAAATATTTGAAATCAAATTTAAAGTAAATCAATCTCCTTGGAATCTTTTAAAAACTGATTTTTCATGTTAAATAATGTTATTTATTTGTTTTTTTATTTCGCTAAAAAATTAGATTTTTTATCAACATTAAACCGATAGAGATAGTAATCCGTTACTAATTCTGTAATTGATTGAAAATCGTTTTATAATTTTAAACAAATAATCATCACACTTCCCCAATTCTCTTGAAATAAAATCAAATAAACAATCCCATGTTTTGTTTTAGTTAACAGACTTACGTCGTAAAGTTATATTTGCAACATCAAAACATTAGTTGATTGGTGGTCGTACAATCGTCTGGTGCACTGACGCACTAGACATCGCCAGATGCACTTCCATAATCCCTGCATAGAGCTGCAGTTGCACTTTCTTACTTTCGCCATTCTCTGACAACCTGACACTTCCTATGTAATGTTGATTTATGTGTATGTTAATACAGTGGCAACACATCGACATAGTTAGTAATCTTAAAGAATCATTATAATGATTTAAGCACAAAATACATTACTTTTGTGATTTCCGTTCAAGAATATTTTTGTATTAAGCTTACACATGAGTCGAGTTGTACCAGACGAGATCAATGCTCTATTTTATCATACATTGTCTAAAGTGGGCGCCAGTTAATGTTTTAGCTATTTTCCATCTATCAATCATTTAATGTACCATCCTTGTTCCTTGTTCCATTCATATTATTCATGTTTCATTCTTTCTTTAATTAAGTTATTGCACTTCAAGCTAAATACAAATTTTATTCATGTAATAAACTTCAGTTGGGCTGCAATTAATATTGTATAATAATTAATATTGTATTATATAATATTGTATTAGACTTGGATGTATAAAAAATAGTTTTGTTAAAACCAAATAACACAGCTGTTTTAAACACGCCAGCTGTTGTTAATAATGCATCAGTCAGCTGGGATATTGACGATATAAAATTAAAGGTGTTATTACTTTTGTAAAATATATAATTTGTGGCAAAACAAACTATTCTTTGTAATATTTTATTCCGTGATAACTTGGAAGATGATGAAAAGGTTTCTAAAGGATTAAAATCAAGTTTCAAGATATTAAATTTGGATCTGTTTATACTAAGTTCTAATTTCAGCTGTAAATAAAGTAAACAATTGTTACAATTTCATCAGCTGTTTTATTGGACACTTTGTCTTCCTTGAAGTTTTAACCCAATCTAAAAGTTCGGTTGTTTCTGCAATATTCCCGTGCGTATTCGTTAAATTTTTTGTTTGTTTCATTTTCTTTATTGATATTTCTTTAGGTCGTAGAGAATGTTAGTAGAGAACACACGTGCAATTCCGTTTGTCAATCTCGCTAGCAAACCGTGTTTACGGGCGATTTTTTTATCTAGTGGCCTGCCCCATATATAGGCTACCGTAATGTACAGTATCGCTCAAAGATGAGTGTGGCCCCGGCCTTACCTACCTATTCAGAAAGATATCATGGAGGTAGCAATTTTGTAAAAAAGGATATATGCAGCAGACATATAGTGATATTTAATATATAGTCAATGCTACTGTACTATCAAAGCATTATGCCACAGACAATAGAATAGTCTGTGATAATACGCATTCAAAAAAACTAATTGAAACCAAGGCTTAGACCACTCTCTTACAAAATCATAAAAATCAAGATGTTATAGGATAAGACCCAAATAAAGAATTTAAATTACAATTTTTAATGAACGGAAACGGAAATCATGCGCAGCAAATTGCCGCAGTAATATTGGGCAAGTCAAAGATACCCTTGGATAACAATCCTGCAGAGCTTCACTCCGTAAACAAATGACGCCATTTATAGAGAACACCAGGAAATAGCAGAAGAGTAAGATATTTCCAATTGAATGCAGCCCGCCGTATGAATAATTTTAAATATGTTATGCAGTCTAATACAAAATTGGTAAACGCATGGACGGCAAACGCATAGCTACATGGAAATTAGTGGAATCATAAACAATACCGAGAACACATATTCATGGAAAAAATTGGAATCTGATATTCTTGGACAAAATTGGTAACTGGCGATCTTTATATTGAATTTTCGGAAATATATTGAGTTATTAACTTGGAAGGTTTTTAACAATGAAAGATCTAATTTCATAAAAACTGACACTCAAAACCAGTTAATCTTCTTTCCCTTTGACTAAAAGGTAAATACCAATGGGTAGGTTGGGTATCTCGTGTGGACATACTTTTGCTGTGACACAATCTGTACATACTATGCGATTTTAGATTATCTCCCTACAAGGCATAAGATTAATTTACTGTAGGATTATTCCAAGGTTGGTAAGCCTACGGTCACGATATTTTCACTCCACAGGTCACAATTAGGACAAGTACGGTCTGAAGTTTGAAACGTTCTCCCCTCCCGACTCTTCTGTCTGTTTATAACGTCCACTTCTAATCTCGGACGATAATTGGCTTTATGTTTAAAACCATTACCGGTCTAAACTAATTACAGTCACTTTGTAGTTAGCTGCACCCGAAATGTTTAAATCACACAACTATCTTCGGAGATTACCTACTAGGTAGTGTTGGTGCATTCTGTGAGGGAAGTTTGAACAATAACTACCATCTTTTGATGCAATAAAGATAGAAATCGTTAGCGACATCGAAATAACGGTAGGTCGGGTTTGAACGTTTGAAGCGTTGAAAGTAATAAGCTTGCTTGGGTCACATTCTTTTTTTTATTTAGGACGACGTGATTATCATATTTTAGTTAATACTGAGAACTTTTGTTTTTCAGATTCGTGAAATATATAGCCTGTTCTAGGGCTGCTTTGTAAAATCAATAAAAAAGACTAGTAGTAGACACGTTTGATCCAAAACTAATTAAAATATAATTATATTTTTGAGATCTTACGAGCCCATGAACACAGCTGTACATATCATTTTCATACAACATTGTTTTCGGAATTTGGAGCCATAAAATGAAAATTGCAACATTAGTTTATTTTAGGGACGCTATAGACTCTGGCCCGAGACAGTTTCCCACATTATTTTAGACTAGGTAATCACGACATTATCACGCATCTAGAAGTAATTGGGGATTAGCAGGATTTGAACCTGGAACTTCTAGGACCGAACCTCCACGTTCTAATGCTAGATCAGCTCGATCCACCAGGGTGAAAATGTTTTGAGGACAGTATTAGCAGCTTCTTTCCTAAAAATATTCTCCCTGATATTTTGATTACAAATTAGGTAATACAGTACACAAATTTCCCAAACCAAACTAATATCTCCATGATCACTCCAAGATGAATAATATTTACAACTTATAACGCCAGTTTGTGTTCGATTTAATTGCGTCAATAACTCACAGTTATCAAGCAGTCACTTAGCTCGCTGTTATCAAGCATGTCTAAGTGACGACGGAGTGAACCAAGCGACCGGTTTCTTTCATCATCGCAATATGTTCGATTTCCGAGTGACAAATTGACCGTCGCCACGTCCGCGTCGTCTTCTTCTTCGGTGGTCGTTGACTTCATCTAACTGAAGACTAATCCAATAGTCGCTACACTGTAACAAGTTTTTAGGATTAGGAAATGGCTAAATTTAATTGGAAAAGGCCTTCATATTTGAGCCGTAGTTGAGGAAAAGGCCGAAAAGGCGCGATTTTCATTTATGATGTAGATTAAACATACTCCCCATGGGAACTTTAAGACACCAAGAGCAATGGAAATCTATTAAACACTCGTTTAAACATGTTCTGTAGTTTTCTTTTGTTTATGTCCCACCTTCACATCCTAGGACGCTATGTTGTTGTCCTGAACTGTTTACAGATTACTTCAGGCTAGTCTAGAGGGTTGCTGCTTTCTCACATCGTTAAAATCTA